ATAAAAACCTGCTATTGCTCCTACAAAGACAAATTCAGCTTCTTCTCTCAGGAACTTCTGGCGCCGGCTTGTAAGGCCTTTTTCAGGACATGAGAAGCCTACAGATTTATCAAGCATTCCATCTTCTCAAGTACTGAAGTTCTACCTTTGTGCATCTCAACAAGAGCTTTCTTCTGCAGATAAGGGCAGCAGCAGCAAGCCACCAGTCCTATCTTCAGTGGTCATCTCCCTGCACAAAGAAACACGTGAATTTCTGTGCAGGATTTCATACCAGGTTGGTTCACCCAGCTTTACAGTTACCATTTCTTATGCTAATGAAAAATCTTCAAAAATTCTTCTTTTCACATCATAAGCTCCATGACAGCAAGATAAGAGTGCATGTGGCCAGAATGCAGCAAATGAAAGGAAGAATGTGTCTCTGTCTGGACGGAAGAAACTTCATTTCTTCCATCCTGAAGCTCACCAGAGATACAAAGATCATTTGTTCCTTGCTCTGAACTTTGTTTGGTATCTGGGGAGGAATGGGCTTTTTCATCCTGATGCAGCATTCCCAGACTGCGTGTCGGAGAAATGAGGCAGACCTGAAGTGACACGAAGGTTTGCACCAGAACAGCTCACTACAAGCGCCATGTGCATCAAACATGAATGCTATCTTTCTACCTGTTTTGAAACGGGCTCTGAATCTTTTTGTTCACTTCCTGTGTAAATTCAAAAACTGCAGAAGAACTCCCTATCACATCAATATGAGTATCATAAGGAATAACCAAAACATCGGGGTAGCGGGATCTTACACTTTCACACACCGATCTGTATTTCTTCTTATCTCTGGTGCACTTCTCAAAGCCGATCCTTTCTTTACGTAAACTGTTAAGAAGTTGGATAGACCGATTTTCAATTTTCTCCTTGACTCTTAATACTTGGCTGCTATCAGGCCTGTTTCTGCCCTTCTGAAGATGCAGTGTAGTTATATCACCATCAGTGATGTCAGAAATCACAACATCAGTATTTGCGAGGAGTTCCTTGGCAAAGAAGCACTTCATATAGTGGTATATATCCGTGTCAAGAACAACCACTTGCTTTTCCCCTTCAGCATCATGACCAAAATCATTCACCTCTCTGGTGAGCGTGTGTTTGTTCAGCCTCTTCTTTGGTCTCTGATGGGACTTACTTGCTTCATTTTTATCCTCCGAGAGGGATTTTGCTTTTAGTAAAAGAAAGTCTCTTAGCCATTTGATGGTTGGAAACGACCCTTGAACAGAAATATGCCCATTGGATTGCAGAGAACCAAAGCTCAAAGCTGTGCTCTTCTTTTTAAGTTCTTGCACTAGATCCTCCAAAACAAATTTATCTTTGAAAACAGACATATCGAGGACAGCTGTGACAGAGCTGAAGACCTGGAATTGTGAATTAGAGAAGTTAGGTAATGGTTAACATAGCTAAGGAAGCACAACTAGATAAACTGAGGATGAACTTACATTTTCACAGGAAGGGGTGACTTTCAGAGGATAGTATCTGGGCAGCCTCCTGTCTTCTAGTCGATGCTCATTCTTCTGTAGAACACTCTCTACAACTAAAGAGAAAGCAGATTCACTTGTTTGGCAGTAGGATAATGTCTTATTGCCAGTCTGACAGTACATCACTGTGTGGGTGTTTTCCTCTTGATGCTCTCCCTAAAATTTCCATACATACACACAGGTGATCCAATTCTCCTGCCTAATATATTTGCATTAGTCAAAATGGTTCAGAGAGACAGAAGCCTGTCTCCTTACAACAATAATTGCCAGAGATTTGTTCCCAAAGGCCTGACTCCAAAAATCACATTATGCAGTGTTTGTCTCTAGAAACAAACAAAAGTTTGTGCAAAGTCTCTTCAGAGTCATTACTTCACTGAACAGAAATAAAATCCTACAACTCTGACTGACTAAAGGCACTAAACTAAATGCCTTCCTTACTAAGTGCCAGTAAGGAATTTATAATCATTTGTTTTAGAGTAAATGTTCTACGGCTAATTTTTGGGAGAACGTTTCCTATGCTCTATTAGTGTGAATACCTTCTTGATCTTCAAAAGTTATATATGCAACTCCTTTTTCCCTTGTTGGATATTTCACTTCTTCCACATCTCCACCATTATTCTTTGCCTTTTGGAAATGAATCACCAGAATGTCACTCATGACATCATCGCTCAGAACACCATCTGGAACACCAGAGATGACGATGGTCCTTGCTGATTTAGCAGCCTGTCCCATGTCCTGTGCAGAGAGAAATGGCATGCTGTCAAAACAGTGACCTGCACAGAGGTTACCCAGAGCCACCACGGCTGCTGAACTGGCTCCCTTTTGTTCAGACGACCTGTTCCTTTCATAGATTGCTTTGTCAGATTCTGATTTCAATGAGTGCCAGATTCCCTCAGGCACCTTCACATTACCGTGCAATAAAAAAGTGTCGCTTCCACACCCTCGGTATCCCCTTTTGTTAAAGCAGTAAAAATTAGAACTACATTTAACAGCTTCCCAAATGAAAGGCCCAGTGTTAGGCTGGTACGATTGTTTGCTCTAATATGCAAGATTTGAAGGAAATGGAAAATGTTAATTGCATGTACTGTTCAACAAGGACTCTCTTTTCAGAGTGTCAAGGTCAGCTTCAGACAGTCCTTACTTGTTAAATTCAAAAGAGCTGGGATGAAGGGTTATGCTGTGACTCAGCTCTCTCCATTTACTCAGAGGACAACCTTGTTAAATTGGAAGAACGTAATCCCAGCCATCTGAAACCTGCAGTGCATAAAATAACGACACACATGATTTTCATCAGAGCCAGACCTCCCATTGCTGCAAACACGAAACCCATCCTAAATAGGATTTGCATCTATGCCTTGTTAGGGAAAGCATCTTTTCTTTCCATTCCTGCTACATAAACGGTATTATTTCAGTGAAAATACAGAAAAACGCCACAAACGATGGGACTCTGAGGAGATTTTGCAATGGTTTGTTGGCTTGGAATGAAGGAAAGGATGGAAGGAAACAATTCAGCACGTTTGTTGATCCAACACAACCCTGCCTGCGGCAGGGGGTTGGGACTCGATGATCCTTGGCTTCCCTTCCAACCCGAGCCATTCTGCGATCCCGTTCGCACGGTTAGTGTTCGCGGCAACGAGCTGTCGCTAGCTCCAGAGTGACCACGCGAGGACCGTCCTTCAGCCCGCGTTCTTCAGGCTTCTCTCAGCTTACACCCTTCATGCCCCTCTCAGGGCTTACATCTTCCACTATTTTTCCGACAAAAGCTCCCTGCTCTGCGCTGTGCGGGTCACGGGCACTCACGGAGCCCTCAGGTCGCGCACGTTCTGCCCGGATCCACACAGCGCAGCTCGGCGGCTCGCCTGAGGGCAAGAGGCTCGGCAGGCCCTCGGCGGTGCCGCACAGCTCTCCCGCCAACCGCGGCGGTGGCGGACCGCGCTGCCGCCTCCGTGTTGCGCCCCCCAACTCCCCCCCCGACCCCGCGCCCCACACTTGCCGAGGCGTCGCCGTCCGGAGGGCAGGCGGTTTCTCGAGCACCGCCCGCGTCTCGGCTGCCGATCGCCGGGCCCGGCCGGAGAGAAACGAAAGCGAAAGGTGAGGGCCGGGCCGGGCACGGAGCCTGCCGGGGGACGCCGGGAGCGGAGGGAGGGCTCGGCTTGGGGAGGACACGGGCGGAGCGGCGGGTGGGCGGTGAGGTGGAAACGCTGAACTCAGCGCCGGGAGGAGCGGAACGCTGCACGAACCTCGGGAGCTCTGTTAAAATCGCGCTCAATTTTGAGAGCCTTCTCGCTCCTCCCGCTCCGGGACACCACGGCACAACGGTAACGGTAACGCTTTCCTTTCCGTTGAGGCTGCGCTGCTCGCCGTCCAGCGGGGTTGAAGTCGCTGGCGGGCTGAACCCAGCTTTTCCCCCTCTTTCCTTTCCTATCCGACCGACACCGTTCAGGGAGAGCACAGACGCTCACGATCCCCCGCTCGTTGCCGTTCCCCGCTCCCACAGCCGAGCGGCGCTCCGTGCCGTTACCCGCACCGAACGCCGAGCGGAGCTGCAGCCCCGCGCTCAGCCGCCCAGCAGGCAGCGCCTGACGTGTCGTAGAACCACGGAACGGCCAGGGTTGCAAAGGAGCACAGTGCTCATCCAGTTCCAACCCCTGCTGTGTGCAGGTCGCCAACCAGCAGCCCAGGCTGCCCAGAGCCACATCCAGCCTGGCCTTGAATGCCTGCAGGGATGGGGCATCCACAGCCTCCTTGGGCAACCTGTGCCAGTGCCTCACCACCCTGTGTGTGAAAAACTTCCTCCTCATATCCAACCTAAACCTCTCCTGTCTCAGTTTAAAACCATTCCCCCCTTGTCCTCCTGTTTATACGCACCCTTCCAATATTGGAAGGCCAAATATTGGATTGCAGCAAACACCCACTCATGGAGGAGAAATCCTCAGCTTTTGCATTTCTGTTTTATTCCAAAGCTCTTTCAGAGTCAGAACTGGAAGCAAAAGGGCAAGTTTACATGCAAAAAAAAAAACCCACAAACTTCCCCTATACCCTCTGTGCCTTTTTCCAAATGCCCCCAAATGCATCGCCTCCCAGAGCTGGTAGCCTGGCCAGGCACATGCCACTAAATAAATACCTCAGGCCTTGCGTGCACCATCACCTTGCTTCTCCAGCTCAGCTCCAAAACAACTTGTTTTAAACAATCATCTGATTTCACAACTGTGAGATGTTACATCGGAAAAAACAAAGAAACAAAACTGCCAGTGTAGAAAAAAAAAAAGTTAAAAACAATATATCAAACTATTCACTCATCAGAAGCTCAGAACCATTTGGATTAGATGGTGGAGGAAGTATCAAGGCCAGCACCTTGACAGCTAAAAGCAGCATTAGTGATGTGTCTTTTCTCATGGGTTGCAAGTAAATCTGATAAGTGATATTTTTGCATTCTCCTTTCACAACCAGCCTGTATATGTTGGATATAAACACATATCACTACTGTTGTAGCTTTATCACCAATTCAATATTTATCTGATGCAATTACATAAATGTTGCTTTCAAGTATTTGAGTTATGTCAGCACACACCAATAAAACCCCCAGATCTGTGGATTCATGAAGGTGCTTTACACTGGGTTATGAGTGGCTTCTGTAACAAAACTGAAGATGGAATAGATTAAAGTGGGGTAAATCTATAGAAAATGGACAAGATAGAAAATCTGTGAATTTGCAAGAAGCAATTATAGATTAAGTTACGTGTGCAGATGAAGGCTTTCTCCATGACTTTCATCAGGAACACCTGGAACACTCAGCATTAAGTTCTACTGAATTTCTGTTCAAAGTTCATGCCATTAAACAAATCAGAAAGGTAGTTCCTCTTTTTCAATTTCTAAACATTAAGGCACAATTGTATGAGAACCACTGGTGTAACTTATCCCTCTGATGAAGCAAAAGCTCAGAACTTCTGAGAGAGAGATACACTTTTTTATACGGCATTCTAAGCATCCTCTTCAAAAGAAACCCACACAGCTCCTTTTGATACATATTTGATACTCTCTGTTTCCCCACCACCATTACTAGGCTTCTGGAAATGAATTTCAATCATATCCTGCACACTTTCCTCATCATCTTCAGTCTCTTTAATTCCTTTCAGTAGAATGGTCTTTGTAGAAATACCAGAAAAGAGCTGTCGAGGGAAGAGAAACAAACTTGTATTACACAGCAGCTGTTGCAGGTACACCTAAAGGACCTGAGATACTGGAAACAAGCATCTGTCGGGATCTTTGGTTACATGTTATGATTTTGGAGCATGCACTACCATCTACAACTGAAGATAAAAGCAGTTTGGAACCCCATCACACACTGCACCCGCCAAGAATGCTATCTCATAAATGCACTCTCTCTAGTCAATGCTTTAATTATAAAGGCCTGATTATACACACAGCACTGACTTGATTACAAGCTACTCATACAAAGCCAAAGACAATTTCAGTGAGAGTATCGTGAGCAAGCAGACAAGCACCACAGGAAAGCAAGTTATTATTTGGGTCAAACGACTGTGTGAAAAAATGAATCAGCAACTGTTCCACAGAACAACAAGGCACTCTGCTGAGATTATCAACACGGCCTCTCATTAGGGCTGAAGAGGACAGTGCTCTGTGCCATGGAAGCATATTGCTGTGCTCCTGTTAACCTGCTTCACAAACTGTTCTGTGTCTGCCTCCCGCCTGGCACAGGTGTTATGGTATGTAATGATATAATCTGGTCAACATAAGGTATGCACACCATTTTTAAATCATTTTTTTTTTCACAGTACAAAATATAAGACTACCAGCATGTTGCAGAGTCACACTGGTACTCATTTTGTGAAACTTAGTATAGAAAACTTAGGCAGTCCTCAGGACTAAAAGTTCTGCCCATTTCTTGTGTTTCCTATGGATCTGATCTGCTTATGGAATATCCTGAACTAGAGTATTTTACCTGAAGCTTTTCCAAGTGTCCATCAGTGCTTGGGGACACAGAAATCCTATGGCACCTTCCATTTACATAGAAAGGGTGTCTAGCACATCTCACAATGCTGGCCATTGCTGCAAGGGAGAATGAGAAAAAGAACAGTAATAGAACCTAAAATGCATTCTGTACACACATCAAAGAGCAGACTAACCTTTCTTACTTGGATTTAGAAATAAACATATGATAGTGCATTTGCAGGTTCTTCATGTGCAATTTGAAAACAAAACAAAACAAAACAAACCTTTATTTGGCATTTCCAAAAAACAAAATCAGTAAATACCCACAAAAGCTTCTGAAATAAATCTAAAGCAGCTGTTCTAAATAGATGTGGCTCCACTAATCTCTGTAGATTTTCATGCACTTAAACCAGAATGCCTACAGTTGGGCAATCTGAATGCTTCTCTCAGTTCATTGCTATGGAACAAGAGCTAAAAATCAAACATGTTTTCCTTATTTTCACAAGATAAGTGTCTAGCAATCCAAAGCAAAAAAGGATTTCTGACAAAGTTAAGAAAGAAACAAAGAGGACAAGCTGCATATCAAGTCACGTTTGATCAAAAAGGAATGTGATGAATACTGCTTTGCTCACACATGTGTGGGTGAACCTGTGTGTGGGTGAACCTACATCTTTTCCTGATCTATTTAATTCTCCCTGGGGAAGAATTAGCTGCATTCACTGGTTAAGTTAACTCAGAACATAAGGGAATGGACAACATGGCTTGTATATCCAGCTAACAAAACATTACAGACAATACCTCCAGGTCTAGTGAACGTAATAACAGCTGTTCTGGACCTCTTGTCATATTTTACATTTTCTACTTCTCCTCCTCCATATTCAGATTTGTAGAAATTCAGCTCTAATTTGTCTCTCATCCACTCATCAGGAATCGGTAGCTCAGGGATGTCTGAAACATTGATCTTCTTTCCAGAAATTGTGACGTGGAGCTAAGGAAATAATTTGTGTGTATTTTGTGATTGAGAACACACACAAAACCAAACTTAAAGCTTTTTAAGTACTGCAAGTGTGTATCTTTATATAATTTCGCATTTCAGTTGATTACCTCAAATTTGACTCCCATTCCAACTGTGAAAGGCACCACTTTCACATCTGCTGTAGTTCCATCCAGGTTCACAGTATGCTTACCCATTTTTGTCAGTCTCTCGGCAACTAAGGAAAAATCACAAGGTTGCAGGTAAGAAAAGCCTTGTTTAATCACTGTAACTTGACAGTCTGTCAGTCTCTTAAGCAAAATCTCCTTTTACATTGTTAAAGGAGAAATAACTGACAGGCAACCATATCCTACTGCCCACAGCTTCAGGCATATTTGCTTCTGTTCAGTCTCACCAGCAATAGGCAACAGCTAAAACACCATGCTATCTTTAGAATAAAAGATACTGTCAAAAGATACTCTCACTGTATGAAACATTAATACTAGACTTTTGGTATTTCTGTTCAAAAATCCACAGGTAAAAACACATCACTGCCAGCTGCAGAGAATGCCTGCTAAGACTGTTAGATTTTAGCTGGAATAATCGAAACCTTTGTATCCTACCTTTGTATCTACAATATACATGCATAATGGAGTCAGCCATTATGGTAATGAAATACATCAGAGACATTAATTTTATACTTAAAATATGCATCATACCTTCTTCATCTTCCAAAGTAAGCAGTGCTTGGTTTTGGTTCAGTTTGAATGGGATTCTTGTTGTTACAGAAAAAACGCAGTGGGTATTCGTATCTGCAAAGCCACCCTCTGTGTCTTCCATGTGAGTGAACTCCACTTTCATTTCTGCCACCTTTTTTTTAATCTAGTATTTTAGAATCAAGATAGAGGACAAACTTTATGTAATTCATTTCATAACAGAAAAATAAACAGTACAGCCTTGCCTATATGTCTAAAGGTTAAGAGCCGTGCAGACTGAAGTCATAGCTGTCACAGAGGTATAACTGCTAACTACACTGACTTGTTGCAGATGTCTATTCCTCGGATTTTTGCCCATTATTTTAGTTTTTCTCTATTCTCTCCTTTGATTAACTTTGAACATGAGCTCGACCCTACAAGGGAAAAATTCAGTGGAAGTCTACAGGTGTTCTGGTCTGTAGAATTAGAATACTTTTGCTAAGTAAAATCTGCAAAATGCAAGTATCAGTATCATCACACTGATCATTTATTTTTACTTACTTGCATTATTGTCCTACAGCAGTGGTGAATCTGTTAATAAATTGCCTTGCATATCACCGTTGTAGTAAAACAGAAGTATTTTATGAGGATAGGTTAAATACTCATGAAAACATTGGTGAAGAAAACCTACTTTAATAAATACCAGGGAGTTTCAGATGTCTCTCTTTTCCCTTTTGTAGCTGTTTCAAAATAAAAGGAAAATACTCTTTACCCCAAGACAAAACAGCCAGAGCAATGAAAGCATTTCTGCCACCTATCTTCAAAACTAGTATCTTATCTAGGAGCTTGTTTTCTTTCTGTTCTCACTACTGCCAAAGGACACATTCCTTCTGCCATCCTCTTACCCAAGAAATATTAAATGATGCAAGCACTTGAAAAATGCAATATTATGTGCATTTTTTTACTCCAATGTCTTCCACTTAATTATTTTCCGCTTTTCCTCATTATTCTCATATCTTCAGTACCACACACACTGGTATTTGTTTCCACATCCCTAGTCTTCACATTATCTTGCCAAGTAAAGTAAGAAAATAAAGCATCAAGCTGACTTTATACTGACATCAGTTGAGGCTTAAATGCTAAGCGAGGCTGGATGTGGCTCTGGGCAGCCTGGCCTGCTGGTTGGTGACCTGCACATAGCAGGGGTTGGAACTGGATGAGCACTGCGGTCCTTTGCAAGCCAGGCCTTTCTATGATTCTAAACAGCTGACCTCAGCAGACTAGAATTGACTAAAAATGTGTCCTTCTAAAATAATAATTGTCAAATATTGCAAGCATTACCTTACCATCCTGTGAAAGCGCTGAACAACATTCTGCAAGCTCTTCTTTGAGCTTCTCAATCTCTCTCTTCAGCTCAGCATTCTCTTGGTTTAGCACAGAAAGTTCTGTCTACAGCCCAAAAAGGATTAAATGCAACATTAAACACACAGAAGATAAAAGTAGAAGATAAAAGTTTGTTTCAACAAAATCTGTAGTCATTAGAAGGTGTTTCAGCTTTGTAATACTGTAAACGAAAGCCACGCATGAGGCATTTTTCCACAACTATCTGCAAGGCAAATCCACTCACCAAGGAGCAGTTTTGATCAAAGCAAATTACAGTAAGGCTTTTCAAACAGAGCATTCGTGTTTCCAAGCATATACTGTGCAGAATAAATCAGCAGTTCCATCTCAGAACCGACATCAACACAGACATTTCATCTTTCATACCACAAGATCTACGTAGCTCTTATTCCCAGTTCTGAAAAGCTTACCAGGTGAAGACATTTTAGCAGGTAAGGGCACACTAAGGGCCTTCTAACTAAATCCAGCATTTCCCAGACAGGGAACAAAATACTGAGAGATGAAAACATTGCAGATGTAGTGAGATCCATCCACGTGCAACTGGAAGAGATTTCCCTTAATGTCATGAAGCACCTGAGATGTTCATACCAGCACCTATCAGCTGAAGATGATGTGAAACAGAAGCCTGATGATGATAATGACATCTGCTGTCTATAAAGTCCAAATATTTAGGACTGGAGAGGCAAAAGCAACTTTCAGAGAATCACACACCAACTTGAATGTGTGCAGCATCATCTGCACACAGGTAAAGTTGCACGCATGAGATACTTCACACAAATAAAACACAGAAATAGCTGTGCCTAAGAACACTGAGCACCACTGATGAGAAGAAGGAATTGAAGGAAGAAGGATTTCTCCATGAACCCAAACTGATCAGTTGAAAGGCCCAGAATGATCGTAAGGAGCAATGGAAGCAGAAACAACATGTGTTTGAGCAGAACCGAAGCTGTAACAGAACTCTGTGTGCAAGGGTGAAACAGCTGAATGTCATGGCTATGTTATCCTCTGGTTTTTATTCTCCCTGCAAGTAAATATTTCCTGCTAAAATAAAGACAAGTCCTGTTCATTTTATTTTTTAATGCTTAACCTATTAACTGTATTTTAATAGCTTGCAACATGGAAGCATAACGTGCTCATCAGAGGCTCTCAGGCTAAACAAAATGACACTGAAACCAGCTCCTTTACAGCCTGTGGAACATTCTGTTGCTGTACTGACGACTGCACAGTGCTTTGAGGAAATGAGCCAATTTGTTCCAGAAAGAAGAGCCATCTTCAGACCAGTTCTGGCCCTTGCCCAGCTTACTGTCACTTAAGCAATGCCAATCCTTTGGGTGCTGTAACCTTGTCTAGGAGGTGCTGGGATTTAATGAAGCAATGGAAGCAACCCGTTCAATCCCATTCAATTCAATCTTCATCACACACAGCTGAAATATATCAGTTAGAGGAGAATCTTGGAAGACTGTTTTTTGTCTTCATTTTCCACATCAGATCAGTCTCAGTTTCTCATTACTGCAAGACTTATTTTATTGCACCAGTTCTTCTTCTGCCACTGAAAACCTGTGTTTAAAATATTAGCCCTACAGTCTGCAAACTGGTAAAGCTATTTCAACTAGAATGGAAATTCTACTCTTTTCCAACCAGTACTTCCCTCACAGTTCCAGAAATACTGACAGCCACGAGCAAGCCTTCTCCATACCTCATAGATGTCCTTAGACATGTCACTTTCTTTATTAAGTTCCTCTTGAGCATCCTTTAGCTCTGTCAGCTCATGCTGTATTTTCTCATATTCTTCCTCAGCAATTAATTTGCTAAGTTGAAGGTCAGCTTTTGTTTTCTCAGCTTGTTCAAGTCTTTCCTGGATGGTAAAAAGACTTTTAGATTTTCTATCTCCACAAGAACAAACAAAACCATAGGTAAACTCTTTACACGTACTTAGTTTTAATGTTTTGGATAAATATTTCTCTTAGACATGCAAGTGTAGCCACCACTGAGATTAGCATAGGCAAATAGCATTAAAGGAGAGAGAGCATGTTAGACAAACATCTGTTATGATGGGGAGAGTGGATTGAGATGTAGAAGGATGGACTAATGCTCTTCCAAGTGTCTTTCATCTAATTTCCATGATTCCACACACTTTACAGAACTTGCCTTCCATTTCTCCAGTTCTTGTTTAAGACTTTCCATCTCATCTTTTGGTGTATCAGAAGGGTCAGGGTTTATCACATGCTGTAGAGAAAAGGCACACTGAGTTTTATTTCCCAATTAGAGAATAATCAAAGTACTTCATAATTAAACATTCCAAGTATCTGCATGCCAGAGGATAGTATATAACATTGTTTCTTAATTCAAAAGTCCAAATGAATGAACCACCTTCATGGCTGGACAGGACCAAAATCTAAGAAAATGGAAACTGGCCAGTGCTCATTACTTTTTAACTATCCAACTGGAAGCATTCACAGGCTAGTTTGCGAATAAACCATAAAAGCCAGTGGTCTCTGTGTTCTTCTGCTGAGACTTGAGCACCTCAAACCCACACAGGTTTATCCATAGGCTTTGTCAGCGACTCCTCTAAGAGTGTGTATAAAGCCTGAAGAGAAGAAACCTACAAAATGAGAGGTGTCCAAGCTCAGTTAGATAAGGAACTGTAACATTGGGCAAGAGAAAGGCAACAAAGGAATTTCAGATTGTAAGTATGTCAGGGCAGTTCACAAGCACAGGGAAACAGCAACTGGTTAAAGCCCAAGAAGAGAGAAAATCTCTGTTCTGTTTTGTTTCTATGACTGCAATATTCTGCAAGGAGAAGAAAAAAAATCCAAGGAGACCTACTGAAGCAATCCCTCCCTTTGACTTAAGATTACATAAAACTTGAATGTGAGCCACGAGAGTCAGGCTTGGAAAAGGCCTGTTAGATTATCTAGTTAATTCTCTTGATAATTCTGGGTTTTTCCTAAAAACAATAACATAATTTTTTTTTTTTCAACTACTTTGTCCAGTTTCAAAGTCCTGTTAAGCAACAGGGAAATCCCCATCTGCGTATAACTGAGAACCAGAAAATATTCCTTCACCGTGGGAGTGAGCACAGGAAAGCAAAATGATGCATGTGCTGCAGCTGGAAGCTGAGAAGAAAGGATGCCCATTTGGTATGGAAAATGCTCTAAGGCAGCAATTTTCAACCTGAAAGCAACAACAAAACAAACAGGAAAACACAAGAAATCCAAAGGAAAGTTTCATCCAAACTGCTTCCCATGCTGCAAGAACTGGGTTAAGAGAAGCACAGGGAGAAAGGAAACCCCCTAAGAAACCTCCACGGAAGCAAACAGCAGATGAAGCAGGACGAGGAAATTCTAACAGTACTGGTAATGCAGATGCTTTGGGATGGGACTCTCCTATGGAGGCAGAAAGCAGTCAGGAAAGGAAGCACAGGGCCAGGCCCTGCTGCAGTGCAAGGTGCAGAGGTGTCACACTGGGCAACGTCACCTGGAAATGAAGGTGTGATTAAAGGAGGTGGATGAGGAATGTCCCACGTACTGAGGATGGAAGGAGGTGGGACAGGGGTTTCGGAAGCATTGTGCCAGCAGTCCAAGCACAAATCTTCACTCAGAGAAACTGTTACCGAATACAGCAGGAAATACTTACAAAACCATTATCTTCCAAGGAATGCAGTGGGCTTGATAAATCCATTGGAACCTGAGGGGAAAAAAAATTACAACGTTATGTCTTTTAGTGGCAAATGGTTCAGAATGCAATACCATATGATGATTCAACATTTACTAAAAAAAAAAAAGGCATTAGATGCAACAATGATAAATACAGGGTACGTGAAGCCTCCTGCCCTACTACACACGAAAGCAGAGTTGTGTATCGCACAACTGAACATCTCAGCCCTGAAACACGGCTGGTGGCCTTTCTGCTCTGTGTGTAGCGTCTCTAACGCGCAGCCCTGGAGGTGCCCGAGGCCACGGGTGGGCGCTGGGCAGCCTGAGCGGGGGGGGGCAGCCAGCCCAGGGCAAGGGTGGCGCTGGGGGTCCCTTCCAAGATGAGCCCCCGGCCCCACACAGCGGTACCTGCGGAGCTCCCGTCGGGATGCCTCTCCCTGCCCCCTTCCCTCCCGCGACCGCCGGCTTCTGCTTTCGCTTTCCCTCCCGCTGGAGGAGGAGCCGGAGGTTCCCCAGCTGCTGCGGGCCGTTGTGTCACCGCTCCTCTTCCTCGAAATCACGTGAAGGAAGGTGGTTCCTTCGTCCTCCTCCTCCAGCGGTGCGGCTCGCCGAGGCGGGCGGACGGCTGCGGGGCGCTGCGGGGCAGAAGATGGAGGGAGCGGGGCACGGAGGTGTGCGGGCTGCCAGCGCCCGACTTCACTCATCTCTTGGCTGGGAGCTCGTAGCTCGGCCTGTGGCCTTTATGTCCTCAGGCTTGTTTTGCTGAATTTGTTTGTTCTAACCCGCTTTATCTGGAAACAATTTTGTGTTATAAAGAACAGGTGACTGGGCAGTGGCAAAAGACGTCAGCGCTTGTTGACAAATAACCCATTGCTGACGGAAGTGCTGCGTTATAAAAAAACAACTTACGGAAAACACAGTCCTCTGAAAACTGAGAGGTGATCCTTGGGGCAGAGGCAGCTCGCCATCTTGGGACAGCCCGCCATCTTGGGGGCAGCCTGCCTACTTGGGGGCAGCCCGCCATCTTGGGGGCAGCCTGCCTACTTGCGGGCAGCCCGCCATCTTGGGTCCACAGGATGGTGGGGGTGGCTGCCCTCTCTCATCAATCAGAGGAGCGCAGTTGCTTTATGAACCCTTCACTATAAATCTCCCACGAGCATAAAAGTGCTCAGAGGCTGATACGTTTGGAATGGGGCAACACAAGATGAATAGTCTATAACCAAGCCAACCAGATGGGTGTTGGTCTCGATGATCTCTACAGGTCCCTTCCAACCCCTGCAATCCTGTGACTCTGTGGTTAAGTGTTTAAGGCCTCTGATTTTTATTTCAAGTCTTTTCTCTGGCTATAATGTATGTTTGGTGACTCAGATTAAAGCTCTAGTCTGATGATTAACCTCCATTTCTGTCTGTTAAAAAAGCCCCACCTATGACTAGATCAGATTCCAGATCTGCAACTGCAGGTTAGGCATGAGGAAGCATTCCTTCTCCAGAGAGCAGTCAGGCAGTGGCACAGCAGCCCATGGAGTGGGGGTCACCATCCCTGGGGCTGTCCCAGAGCTGTGGGGATGTGGCACTGAGGGATGTGGGCAGTGGGCATGGGGGGTAGGTTGGGCTTGAGTATCCTAGAGGTCTTTTCCAATCTTAACAATTCTGTGATTCTAACTGTACTTGCACAGCACAGAGGTAGAGGAGCAGAGCTTCAGTACACACGGAAATCAGCTGAGAGAAGCCAGAAAATGTAGGCTGATGTGAATTATCTTTGCAGATGTTTGCTGTCCTAGCCAATGGGCACTCATTCTCTAAGGAGACCTCACGGAGTAGCTTTTTAATGCAAAAAAAGTGGGGTAGATTCCCATGATTATAAGTTTGAAGTAGAAAAAGCTCTGTCTCTTCCTTTACAGGGAGTATAGAAACTTCATTTCTTGAGCGATCCTTCTTCACGTAGCATCTAAAGGAAAGAATCTCATATGGATCCTGAGCGAGGTGTATGGACTCACTTCATTCAGCAGATTATGTTGGTGGAACAGACTGAACCCATAGTAGGAGCTGTCAGATGGTAGGTGCAAAGAGTGTGTGCTTAAACATGGAGAAGTAAAAAAAAATAGTACCACAGTTGTCTCCCATCAGCGGCTCTTGGATTCGGGAGCAGACTGCGTCCAAGACCGTAGCCAAGCAGTCAGACACCGATGGAGTTCAAGACGGTTAATATCCATTTAGATACACATAGCAGATGAGCTGCAGTCATGAACAAAATTTTGGGAATGTCTATGTCCTAGGCCAACAAAATGCGGGAAAAAGCGTGTCAAGCTTCCTTAAAGGCTGAGCTGACTAACTTTTTGAATGTTCCCCTCAAGGCTGCAACCAGACTTGTACTCATTGGCCAAAATAGTTTGCATGGCACTGACTGCCGAAGTTAATTCGTTTCCAGCATTTCAATTTATGCCAAATCGATGGATAATGAATTAGAACACGACATCGTCACTTAGCAGATGTGGAATTGTGCTTTCAGGGAGAAGCAGGAATATCTGTAGAGCAGATTGAGAAATTGTTTGGCCTCTGTGCACAACTTGAGGAAGCCTGCAGATCTCAGATATTTTGCTTTTATTGGCCCTTCAGTTGGCACTGAATTGCACTCTGCTTGAACAGCGGTCACCTTGTGCCACCAAATTCAGTAGGAGTTCTACCCATATGGAAATTATTACCACAGCTTCAAATGTTCTTATCTGTTTTTTAAAGACCAGTAGATGAAACTATCACCCTGTATTATTATTTTTTTAATAATTATTTTTCTGCCTTGACAATGGATAACTGTTTACTATTGCTTTGTAAACACAATGTTGGTTACTAATGAGATGAGTAAAAGGGAGAGGTTTAGCTGGAGTAGCCAGGGAGGAGGAGGAGGTGATTATGTTATGATCTAAGTACATCAGATTTCAGAATTAAATGTCAGGGTGGAAGGCTGTTCTCCAGTAACCATGATCATGATGGGAAGTCACCACGGATCTGAAAGAGCCTCCTTTCTCTTAAACTCCAGGGAATAAAGCAAAGCCAATCTGTTTACATGGCCTGCTTTGGGATTTGAACTGAACAATGTGTTTGTGCTTGTTTTGGGAAGGAAAGTTATTGAAGATACTGAACTGGAGCAGGTCCCTTAATTCTGGAGTTGACTTTGAGTTTATTTGTTAACTGATTTTCCATGAATTCAGTGTTAACCACGTATGAATCAATGTAATAGGAAAAGCATTGATTTCATAACTCCAAAGAATCTAACTAAAAGGGAATATCAAGGAGTACAAGAAGCATGGAGTACAAGAAGCTTTAAAACTCTTGGGATTTCTGTGAGCAGACTGCATTGATACCAAACTTGTTCTTTTGGGATTTGAAAAACTCTTGATAAGCCTACAGATCTGAACTGGAAACTTCAAAAGAGAACCACGATCCTTCTAGCAGCACAGTATTAGAGCTCAACTATAGCAGATCATAGAAGATATAAATTTCCAGATTAAGCTGGAAGGTATTTACAGCCGTAAGCCTGTTTTTTATTTGTACCTAAACAAGTTGACCATGTCTCAGTCTGAGGGTAAAAATCAGAATACCAGAGTATTCTGGTTCTTTTTAAGTCAGAATAGATCAGGAGAAGGAAGTAAATAGAATTTTGGTGCTTAGCTCATAGCTGTGATCATGAAAACCTTGCTCAGTGCCTGACCCTTGAACCTGGCTGCAAAACAAACTTGTTCTCTAGACAGGACTAGTGTCATCTCAGTGCTGGCAGTTCTGGAATGCTTTAGCTTAATGTTATGAAGCCAGATTCAGCCACTGAGGTGTTCCAATGGCGCTTTGATGGATCTTTGGTATTTTGATGGAACCATATTCCACTGCTGTCCAGCGTGTTTGGTGCTTCTTTTCAAAACAAGCTAGCAATGGCTTAGCACTCCCCTCAACTCCTTTTCTCTGGGACAAACAAACCAAGGGACCTCAACCACTCATCACACTCCTTGCCCTCAGACCTTCCCTGTCTTTGCAGCCCTCCTGTGGGAACTCTCTAAATTAACTTCACATCCTTTTGATACTGTGGTGCCCAGAACTGCACACAGTGCTCAAGGTGAGCTCAATTCCAGTAAGTGGAGTTCAGAGATATGATTCCTGTTAATCAGTGCTTTTTTTCTTCTTTTCTTTTTTTTCCCCAAGTGTTTTCACATTCAAAAATAGAAAACAGAGACCCCATGCTCCAGAACAGCCAGTATCTTGTGGTCAGATACTGTCAAAAGCAGAGAGTAGTGGGTTTGACCCCTCTGCAGTGAATAGATGTGTTGCAATGCCTTGCAGTTCTTCCAGCAGCCAGCCTGCTTTAAGGGGAAGATGATAACCCACAAACAACCTACAAACCTGGTCAAACAGAGATGCCTTCTATGTGTCCTTAGTTCAGTGCCAGGGATATGAGAGCAGCACATCTAACTCTCATACATCTTGTATTCTTGGTAGCCGTAGGTGATGTTTTATGCACTTTGCTGATAGTTCTAACCTCACTGCTGAGGTCTCACATCCTACTGCTCTCCTATGCCTAATGTCCAAATGTCCAATGTCAGAGACAACAATGGTCGTGTCTCAGAAGTAGCTGCCCCATCTACTCTTGCCATTCATTTTTCCCTGTTCTGAGTGTTTATGTGACCAAGGGACTGTTTAGAGTGGGAAATTAGCCAGCTTAAAACCCCTGACACAGTTTGGGTTTTAGCTGCCTTTCATCCAGTTTATCTTGTGTCCAAAAAGCAGTGTGACACCCCAGGAGGGGGTGGCATGGAGCAGAGTCAGTAGGCTCAGTGGGGCTCATTTCAGTGGTTCTGGTATGCAACTTGGCTTAAAGATCTCATCTAAATACAGCATCATTCTCTGATGTAGTATACAGAGCCTTGGGGCCATAGAGAAGGTTCCAGATTTTGTTTCAAGTGGCATACATTTTGGGCATTACAAATATTATTGCATTTTTCGGTCTCTTTAACTAGCAAGGCAAGAGGGAGATATATACCTGAAAATGAACATCCAGCAACTTCAGCTGTCAAATATCTTTCTCTTACAGAAGTACAAATCAGTGTTGAACACTGAGTTGGGAAACAAATACTTTATAGCAATCTACATCCTTTACAGGAAAGATTCTGGTGAGTGTCCAAACAGACTTGGGAATGTTTCAGCTTCTCTAAGATGTGTGTCCCAGAGCACAGTACTATGAGGCAATACAGTGGTTTAGTAAATAGTCCCAGCATGACTGCTTGAAGGCAAACAATGAAGAAGAAATCATCTAAGATGCACGTTGCTACGCTGGAATCACATGCCTGTTCTTGGGCTATAAATCACTGCATGTTAATGAAATGCTTCTTTCAGATAATGTTGCTAGTGCTTCAGTGGGGATTACTGGTTTATATAAGAATAAATTCCAGCATGCAGGCCATTATATACTGAGAGGTTGTAGATGAGAGGGAAGGAACAGTAGAAGGAGGGGGACAAAGAGATGTCCTTGTCAGCAGTGTTAGTCTTATCTTCTCTTTTTTGTGATAGATGTCTAGAAATTGAT